TAAAATATTGTCTACAAGTTCAGTCGCTCCATTCCTCTACCGTTATGAGAAGACATTTGAAAGCAGTACAAAGAATGAAAGTGCATCTTTGCAAGGAACGGCGTCACATGTGCACATGTGCTGCAAAGGCACCTCCTCCATCTGCCGCCCGCTCCCTCTACCTTGATATCTCGTTGAGAATGGTACTGTTGTTAAGGACGCTGTCGCAAAACGACAACCGTGAAGGAAAGGCCTTCGGCAAATGAAGCCGTTCCTTAATGCATAGGAGTTACGGAATGTGTTTGCTACACTGCAGCTTCTGTCAACTGGTCATCATCATATAACACCTTCCAATCGATTCTGCAACTTCGGAAAGCCGGATGCATGGCCTATACCCAGACGAAACCCATGGTGATGATTGCCCCTTTTCTCATTGCTCATGTCTGAAGTATGTGTTCTAGACACATTTCAAGCGTTGCCAACGCATTATACTTGCAATGGTGAAGGATGGAGCGGCTCTTTAGGTGGCCGAGATCTGTCTTCGATTGATAGATCCTCGACGCGATGATCTTATCAGCAAGGAATATAGAAGAAAGCTGAACAAACCTTAAAAAAGCGCAAACCTTCCGCTTCCCATAGCTCTGTCTTCGTTTTTCTGAAATTTTGCAAATTAGAGAGATATCACCTTTCGAGCGGCAAAATTTCACATGAAAAGTTTAGCGTCCTCAACGCTGCCTCGGCAAAATTTGAGAGACTATTTCTTTGAGTGTAAAGAATTCAGATAACTTTCAATATAGCCCGGTAGTAACAAATACAGCTCTAGCCCTACCATACACTGCTCCAAAGGTTAAGAAGTGGGGTAATGAAACGTTTTTATCGAGAGCGTAGATTTCAACGGTCTCGATCGGGGTTTCAACAAATGCGCTCCACGGATAACCCGCGCTGTAACTGAACGCTTTGCTGTACATCTTCGTTTTTGTAATCTCTTGAGGACTCTTGATGTAAGATTTATTGGTTAGCTTGACCACACACAGACCTAGACCAATGTACAAACCAGGACAACAACGAAGCGATGATCACCTCACTCTTGCAGTTGCTAATGAAATAAAAATTACTGGGAATGAGCAGTACGTGACTATTTCACTGTACTGACTTTTATCCACCGTTAACTCAGAAGTCTCAAAGCCTCTATGGCCTCCTCTCTGATGTTTATTTCTAGAGGCAGCCGCTCGATAGCGAGTGCCTCTACCGATTTTCTTTCTGAGGAGACCTCTTTTTAGCGTTGTAGCACAGTGACCTTTATTGTATTGATGGAGGCGGTTCTTGTCCATGGTAAATCGTGCGGTCGTGCAAAACCATTGATTGAGTAAGACGAAGGATTTCGCAACGCTCGCATATGTTCATCAATCCTTTTGTACATGGTCCCATCGTTCCTCCCACATACTTCTGACCACACGCTTCACATGTGACCAAATAAACGGTCCCTCGTAACTGGTAGATCCTTGTTTCCGTGCAGTACGAGCAGTGACTTCGAATGCACTTTCTTCATAAAGCCTCGCTGATGTCAGCAAGCTTTTGATGTTCTTTGGTGGGCGAAACACTAGCTTTACGGGAAGGTTCGATCATTTCAGTTCACTTTCTTAGCAATACTCTCGTTCACGTACGATAGTACCAGTGGTATTCCTCCGAAAGTAAAGAAGGGACGCCGATACCGTGGTTTGCATGTTGTGTAGCCGTTCTCTTCCAGTATTCTAGACATAGTTCGCTCCACTTCTGCTGATTCTCGCGTGCAAATCCTCGTTTTCGTCATGACTACGAGAGTGCAGAATGATGTTCTTGGATATAGGTTTCCTATACCACACAAACTCCTTAGTGCCATGACCCAACCAGACCTTCGTATTAAGGAACGGGAGAAAGCCACACTCATCTGGATACTCCACCGTAAAGGGTATGTTCGGATCATACGAGTTTAGATTTTGAAGCATCGTGTGCTTCGCGGTGGTAGAACCCATCACAAACACATCGTTTAAGTATCGTTTGTAGAATGCAATTCCCGTGACGAGAGGTTTTCTTTCTATGCGATCCAAATAGACGACGGTTAGAAGAGATGCAATTCTAAGCCCCATGGCCAAGCCACGTTTCTGTGAATAGAGGTCCCCATCAAATTGAAGGATATGAGATCTCAGTGTCCCAGTCAGAAGCTGACGATGATCGTCTTCCAATAATCCGTCAGTGCGCACTTCAGGATGCTGATGAAGAAGTCCCATCACAGACCGTACGGCATCATAGTTGTTAACGTGTGTGTATAGAGAAACTACGTCAAAGCTTGCGTAACACGCATCATTGGGTACCTCGCAACGGTTCAGGGCTGATATGAAGTCTCCTGCGTTGACGATGTGAGCAGCTACATGATGGAGTAGCAGCGACAGGAGCTTCACCAGAAACCAGCTTATTCTATCTGACGGACCACCACATGAAGATATGATTGGTCTTGTCTTTATTAAGTGTTCCTCCATGTGTTAAAAATCAACGTCTTCAGAAAACTTGTGCGTTTTGACCAATGCATAATATGTTGGGATGGATGGGAACGTCAGCAGAAGTCGCTTCATCGTTCTTCTGCTCATAATCTTGCCCAGTACTCGCGTTGTAGTGCTTTTGAGCTCGTTAGACACGTTTTCTAATTCTTGAAGCGGTGCCTTTCGTCGTTTCATTAGCTAGTGTTGCCGACTGAGGCTCTTGTCAATCCTTTGCGTGAACCTGTGACAACAGCAAAACACAGTTAATTTCGCTCAAAAGAGGTCTCCTTAGAAAGCAAATTGTTAAAGGCACACGCTGCTATCAAGCGGCTAACTCCAGAAAGAAACACCAGAGAGGAGGCCCCTGAGTTAGGAGGCCTCCGAGTGAGTTACTTCTGAGTTAACGGTGGATAAAAGTCACTACTGTGAATTAGTCATTCATCTGCTCATTCCCAGTGATTTTTATTCCACTAGCAACTGCACTAGAGTGAGTGAGACTAGAGTTATTGTGATCATCGTTTCAATGTTTTCCTGGTTTGTATTATAAAATATTCTGATGCTGTCTTGAATTGTGCTTTGCAGAGTACATTAGCAGGAGCATCGGCCTGGTCAGTTAATGTTTATTGTGTTGATGTCTTTTAGGTTTGTAGTATTGTTATATGCTTGATGTTTCGTAGGTCTGGAGAAGCTGTTACCACAGCGAAAGCTAACTAATAAGTCTTACGTCAAGAGTCTTCAAGAGATTTCAAAAACGAAGATATACTGTTTATGAGGCTTAGGGATAGCTCCATAATAGCTTTGCTGTACATTGATGAAACTCGCTTACTCATATCAAACCGAAGTTAGAAGGGTGGTATCAAGACTCCAATCTGAGAGGGGGGTCGTACTGATGGGACCACGTCCTCGTGACGCTTTTCATTCTGCCATAGAGAGGAGGGTGAATATGGTGACAACAAGAAACTTCAAGAAGCACACTAATGCAACAAGCATAGGGCTCATAAATGCACGATCGGACTTGCCAGAACTTTTGACATGTATTATAATTCCTACTTCCATAGGGTCATTACCTTCTTTTCCGAATAGTTCCAGTTCATCGGCTCCAAATGAGGACTTGTCTCATGTCGCCGACTGAATTCCTTTCATGAAGAGTTGTGCACTCTCGTAGCTGAACGATTACGGAAGCTGAAGGGATATAGTGAATACGAATATAGCCAAAAGCGTATCCAGCGCAATTCTTTGAGAGCAATGAAGAGAATGGTCACAGGCCTGAAAGTCTCACACCAAACGTAGATTTGTGCATAGCAAGCAAGGGCACAAGCTTATAAAGTTCTATCTCGTCGCGGACGTGCATAGGAGATATAGAGCTCAAAATTTCCAGGGCGAGGTCTCATCACATGCTGAGACCGAGGATATACTTCTGAATCCCTCGTTTGGGTAGGTCTTCATATAAGGAAAGTTCGATATGTTAATAGAACCTCCGAAGAAAAGTAAGAGAGCTGGAATAGCTCAATTTGAATTCAGCTCGCTAGATTGTAAGACCGCCGCAAAGCTTTAAGCCACGTCCGTGATCACAACAAAGAATACCGTTTGCAACGCCTGCGGTTATGGATTCAAAGTCTGCTTCGGCGAATCGCGTGACGACACAGATACATCACAAAGGACCCGAAGCTTCATCCCATAGGGCACAACAACACTTCGTGAGAGGCGAGGCCAACTACGCACTTCTTCAGAGAGGAGAAAGTCCTTCCGGCGGGCTTCTCAGCAGGCTGAGTGTCTATTGTGGCCACTTTGGGAAGATATCTCCAATATTAAGAAAGAATGTGAAGCAGCTTGCTTTCTGGACATTTTCCTTCATGAATGACCAGACACAAAGCCGCCGCATTCTTTCGAATTGAGTCAGAATCTCTCTTTGATTCGAAACCTTTGCTATATCATCTCAGTTATAAACAAAATTTATTTTTGCTTACGTATCTTCTCCATCCAGTATGGAACTAGGTTGAAAGCTACTCGAATGTGATCCCTGAATGTGACATCCATTTCGGGAATGATGCCGTCTGGAGCCAGCTGGTAAACGCCTTTTTAGGTTGCTAGAATTTCGCTTTTGAGAAATGTAGTATAGCAACAATCCCTTGCCCTGTTTACCAATCAAACATCAAAACGTCGGTCATACATACATAATCGGACCCCTTGCAGTCATATGCTCTGTAGTGAAACACCACAATTTCAGCAAATGTTTGGAAGTAGCATAAGCATGAATCGAATTTTGCCTAGTCTCCTTTTTAAAATTGCGAATAGTTGATGCCGTGATAGACATCAGGTTAAACAATGAAAATTGCATTCCCTGGATTCAAATTTACACTCCTCCAATAGCCTTCAAAGGACCCACAGAAAAAACGATTCGTAGTTTCGTGCGACGCGCTTCGAGACATCTTCCCGGCAGGTGGAATGGTATACACGCTTGTTAGACGTACAGTCTACCGAAACAACTTTCAGTGGTTCACTAATATGATTGACCGCTCAACTCCTAAACGGAATAGAAGTGAAGCATGCTTCATCAGAACTAAAGAGCACTACAAAGTGCCCATGTTATCGTTGTATGCGCGTTCCAGATCAACAAAGGTAAGGAGATCAAGATTTTCGAATTACTTTGTGAAATCTCACTAACGCTCCAAATACTCGTGTGTGTTGTGTGGAGTATGTGTATGTGTATGTGTGTGGTGTGTGTATGTGTATGTGTATGTGGGTGTGTCGTAAATGTAGGGCCAGTACTCAACCCCTGCTGGGATCTTCCATCCGCCGTTACAAGCAGTGCATTTTTAGCAGTTTCATTTTTAAAACTCACACTCAAATTTTGCGTTTCCAGGAAAAAGACAGTCGTTTAGAAATCTTACTTGCATTATCAGCGCACTCCCTAGCATGAATAACCCGTATTGAAAGTTTGGCAGCAGCAGCGTTTTTCTGAACTTTTGCATATTTTTATTTTTATTTTTGCTAGTTAGAAATACGGAAATCCAAATTGCAAAACGAATCTGCTAAAGAAGTTACGAGGAGTCGAAAATTGCTGCGAATGAGCACTCGGGAGTGAGGCTCGCTAGTGTTGGAGAAACTGTGTTAGTGGACTAGTGCTAAAGGTTTCGCTCATCATCGGTTTTTTCCCACTGCAGCGTGAGCTTTGCAATTCGTGTTTTGCACCCAGTGGAGCTCAGTTCATAAGTCTACCACGTCCACCTCTGGCATTCGTCAGTAACATAGCGACAACTCTATCTATCGCGTCAAACACTTGGTCTCCACGTTCTGATAAGGAAAAAATTCAAAAACTGGACTAGAATTCATTACTGGGTAAGAAACACGATTTGCAAAAATTTGCGCCGCGGGGGAATCAAACCCTGGCCTACGAGATAACGAGAAAGCGCCTATCACTCCTGAAGCGCGCATTTGCAGCTATTTTTGACTGCTCGAAAATTCCTTGGCAGATTCGTTTTGCAATTTTGGTTTCCGTATTTCTTACTAGTGCCTAGGTCGACTGACTCTATTACTAGGCTCTATCATAATATCTGGGTCTCGATTCGAAAATCCACAGGGAGTTCAGTGCCATACTTCGAAAGTTCCGAAGCTCTTCATTGCCTACTCTGTTCCAAGCTTCAAGCAATGAAAGCATGATCCAGAAGTTCTGTACTTTGTATGTAACTGTTATTCGCATCAGCCTTTTCGACGACGATGCTCTAGACGTTCTCCATCAGATGGACATCCGGACTGCAGGCCGGCCACTGCTGGACGCCTAGGTTCTAGGAATGCAGGCGGTCTTTCGCTGAAGGACTCACGTAGATGGGAGATTTTCCTGTCAAAAGGCGTAATTTAGACGACTCCGCAGGCGGTAATAAGTCGATTTCGTTTGGCATGTCCCTGAGGGAAGTTTCATCATGAAATCGAAACAGAAAGCAACCAATACTTCCACACTTCCCTCCACCGAAATTACGAGCGGTAAATCAAACGGTCTTTATTCGAAAGTCACACGCAAACGCAAAGTCCTTGTTTTCGCTTAATATTAACCTTATCACCCTTCTTCGTTTAGACAAAACCAATAAGTGAGACCATCAAGGAGTACGGTTTCAGCGTGATGAAGGGCCTGCCTTCACCGAATCTTTGTCTAGGTTCCACTTTGAGAGTTGAAGTCGTGCACTACTGTTGTGGTCAGTGAGCCTACGAACGATCTTCACCTCCTTGCTGACTATGTCTCCAACTCTTCTCACCGCTCTTTGGTCATTATCTTTCGACGCAAAAGTGTTCAATGGCGAACGAATCTAGATTCAAGGAAAGGTACTGTTTTGAATTGCCTCCAAAATTCTTCTCGGATTGCTGGTGGTAAATGCAGATGAGTATGCAATGTAGAAGAACACCTTGAGTACGGTAGCACTTTGAACATGGAATCACCCTTTAAACAATTGGAATGAGCGAGAAGTTTTCCGACTTCACGATGTTTCCCATGTTTTTATGTTTCTTGTGCCGAACCAGCACGTTGAAATGTATAAATCTCGCCTCAGCTTTAGAATACCACCACGAAATATTCCGAAAACGAAGTGCAAAAATTTGCTAGTGACAGATATTCACTTCTAAAAATAGGTTCTGTTCACCCCTATGAAAAATTATTAATTTCTCGGGGTGAGCTCATAATCATGAAGTGGTGTAAAAACCAACAAACTATAAAGACAATCAAAATAATGGTGCCGCTGCCAAAATCCGGATACGTGGGTTATTCTTGCTGGGCAACCCGTTGATGAAGCTAGAGAAAATCCTAAATGACTGTTTTTCTGGAAATACGAAATCCGAGGGCGAGGCGCATATGGGGACCCCACAAAAGCAGACCAAACCGCCGCCCTCGTGCCTTGATTTTTTATTCTGGACCAAAGTGGTGCGAACCATGTTCTACTAACCAACCTATAAGTCCCGGCTGAATTTCAGTTGTTAGCGCCATGTACAGAATTAGAGTGAAACATATACTGCGCCATAAAACAGGACACAGCTAACCATGCACGCATTGAAGTACTAAATGAAGTCGCCCTCATCCTAAAAGCTCCGTTGGCATACCTCGCCTCCAAGTGAGCTCCATCAACGAACCAATACGTATACCATTCCTGCTCTAAGCATTCTAAGGGCTCATGCAGCGACGTGTCCCCAGTCCGGGGGTTGAATCGGCTGCTCTCAGACGGTACAGAATGGGCGACTTGCCGTCTTTGGGACAGCGGCCTGCCCGACTTGGACACCAAAAGGCGCTTCTCTCCCTTGTTGGCCTAACGGCGCCCCGAGCCACCCCGGCGAGCTTAAGCTCTAGCTTAGACCGCAGGGAGTCAAGGTAATTACAAGCCTAAGACACATGAGCGATTTTATAAGGATTCGTCACCGTGAAAAAAGCATCCTCTCGAACTAAAGCAAAAATCGAGGCGCACAACTGTAATATTTGACACAACATTTGCTGAATGTGTTTTCTATAGCGAATGCCCTGCAGCTATGAAGATACGGACTGCATATACTTTAAAAATACTAATAGAAATAGAGTTCTACTGTTTTACACAACCATCTTTTTATGATCTTCACTCCGAAAGACTCTCCACTGAAATATCGAGTGTATACAGACCATCCTCCTATTATATAAACCGCTAACTTGGTGTGTCGGTTTGCATGTATGTGTGTCTGTGTCCATCCGCAAAATGAAGTGAGTGATAAGGAAGCTCATGGAGTAAACACTGATAACAAATCGGGTAGTTCACAGGACTTCAGATATGACTGTTTTGTGGAAGGATAATTTTAATAACACTCTTAAGGCTATATAAACACCTGCTTAGCACACTTTCGGTCATTCCACATGGTGCCGCAGTGGCAGTTGGAGGGCAGTGGAGAAGGAAGTGAGGATGGGAAGGGAGGCAGAAAATCTACCGTCAGGTCATAATTATGGCGATCCCCTCTACTACATAAAACTCCCTGGTGTTTCCTACGCGTCACCTCCGAGGTGTTGGTGTCACAGTTGGAAGTGACCACAGCGGAAGATATAGAGCTTGCGCAGGAAAGGAAGGTCCCGGCGGTTGACGGGGGACCAACCTGGTTGAAGCATAAAGCATAAAGCATTTGCCGTTGATCAATCCCTTATGGGATGCGGCACGCACTCCACTTTCATTTGTACATTCGCAGTAGCGTTTGAATGCGATGTGGCCTACAAAATGACGTGCGCGGGCCAGCTATGTACAAGTCAATGTTTTTATCCTCCCAGACAACTCTGGTACCAATTGACCGACCCAGAGGGGCTTGGTTGGCCCGGGCGACTCACGACTCAGGATTTGATCCCCGGACCGCTCGCGTGGTAAGCGTGTCACTTGCCACTACACATACAGAACATTACCCTCAGAAGTGTCGAAAATTGGGCTCTTGGAAAGATTCTGCATAGAAGAAAACTTTTTATCGCCGAACTCGATTTTCTGCTAGAATATTTGGAATATTTAGTAACCAGTTTAGCTCCGCACACCACCGCGTGCATGACACGGAAGGGCTCCGTAAACCTGGCCAGCCGGAGGAGCGCCGCCAAACAATAACTTTCTTTGTGATGAGCGTTAGCTGGCCTTCTACAGAATGCCCATTTTTACCGTCTGATACGCGCGGTGGAGTGCGGAGCTACAGTGGTGTCTGTAAACAGTCACCATGCATTGGATGTCAGGATGATTTAGCGGTCGAATAATATTGGTACCAATAATTTGCAATAGAAATACCCAATATCGTATATCGCTGAACATCCATCACACATTCTTAGGGATTTTGGGAATACAGCGGCCGAACGGTAATATATGTTGATGTCAACAACGCAATGAGATGATTGTGAAGTGAAATGCGTTATCTAGAACCACGGTTTTAAGCGATTCATATGTTCCCGCGTGATTTTCGACCCTTATCGCCTCCTGTACCTCACCGTACATGTTCCCGTCGCACATCATTTCTTGGAACCGATGCCCACTGCTGCTGTGACGCGCGCTATGACCTTCAAAAATTTGCATTTCAGCGCCTCTTATCAACCCTTATCAGCCCTTATCACTTCCTGTACCCCACCGAACATGTTCCCGTCCCACGCTATACATCACTTCTTGGAACCAAGCCCCACTGCTGCTGGGACGCGCACTCTGAATTTCGTAAAAATTGCGTTTCAGCGCCCCTCATCAGATCTTATCATTGGCTATCACTCCCTAAACCCCGCCAAATATGTTCCCGTCCCACGCTATACATCATTTCTTGGAACCAACACCCCATCACTACTCGGACACGCGCTATAAATATCATGAAATTGGCGTCTTATCAAATCTTATCAGTCGGTATCACCTCATAAACCCCACCAAATATGTTGCCGTCCCACCCCCACACCATATTCAAAATACAGCGTTCCATGCCTGCATCGAAGCGCGCTATGAATTTCGTGACAGACGGACGTACGTACAGATAGACACACACACCCACACAGACAGACATACTTAGCGAATTATATATAGTAGGATATTCAGATAGGAGCACCGGAGCTAATGTCCTCTTATTTTCCAAAGTATAGTTGCTTGAAGGATTCCTTCTCGAAAAAATCCTGATCCTAT